TCTCACACACACACACACACACACACACACACACACACACATACACACACACACCACATACACACAAATGAAAAATCTTTATTAAAAGATGTTTTAAATCAAATTTTAATTTATAAATAATTAAAATTTAAATTATAATCTGAAGGTGCTCTTTCATCTTCCACTGAAGGAACAGATTTCTGTGGAGCCTAAGGGGCCAGGTACCTGCCCTGGAAGACCTTAAGGAGGTCAAACCTAAGACACACCTCAAGGAGGTCTGGAAGACTTCAGAACAGCGTAGCCTGGGCCAGAGGACCCTACAGGGGGGTAGCCCAGACTAAAGGTCCAAAGGGTAACCCAGCCTAAACCAGAGGAGTCTCTCCCCATGTAACCAGAATATCTAATACCCAGGAAGAGGGACCCATACTGCTGGAGTGGCCTCCCCAGCGCATGGGCAGCTGAGGGTCACTAAAACTCTAACTGATCCTCCACACCCTTCCGCTTTCCAAAGGGGCCAGAGTAGAGCTAAAATTCTTGATAGTATTTGGAGCTAATATCTCTATAATTTTTCTCATCATTTTCTTAGATACTTTTTCCCCCTTCAAGACGGGGTTTTTGGCTGACCTGAAACTCACTCTGTAGACCACAAGGCTTGTCTAGAACTCAGAGATCTGCCTGCCTCCCTGGGACTAAAGGCGTGCGCCACCACCTCCGGTTTGTTTGTTTGTCTGTTTGTTTGTTAAACCTGACATATGACAGCCAGGGCTGCAGCACTGTTGGTACATTTGGAAGAACCTGGATTGAATCTTCAGTGTCCTCTAAACTCATCATGCTGGCCAATGCTTGTAATCGCTGCAGTGGGGAGATGGAGGCCTGAGGATCATTAGTTCAAAACCATCCTCCTGTACACAGACAGCTGGAGGCCTGGGCCACAGGAGACCTTGTCTCAAAAAGGGGCGGGGGGGGGGGAGGCCGCGGGAAGAGAAGTTGAGGGCTCTGACTCTCCCAGGCGTTGGAAGTGCTTTGAAATCGTGCCTCAATCATTGTTCAGCAAATCAAATGGAACAACTTTCTTTGCTTCCTGCCCCACCCCTCCCATCCGCCGCGGTGGCTGTTCTTGGCAGAAGGCCAGACCGGCACCCGGTAATTCCACGGTACATTGTGTACATCTGCATCCATTTAACCCGCTATTTAAAGCGGCCCTTCACTGCCACCTGTAAGAGGTAGAGCCATAATGGCACTCTGAAGTGGCTGGGGTGGGGACCCGGATTTTCTTCCCTCAAAGACGCCTGAATCTGCGAAGTGGTTGGCACTTGGAGAAACCAGAAAGACATCTAGGGACATCACACGGACAGGACAGGAGGCGACAGGAGGCGCGCTAGACACGGGGTCCTGGCTCCAGCTCTCCACTTGGTGGCTCCATCTCCAAGAAAAGGGCGAGAGGGGACCTGCCAAGCCTCGGGTGAGGCCTGATTACCAGCCTGCTACTATTGGGTTTGGTGAAATCCTGACTCTCCCCAGCGGCCTGGAGATGCTAAAGAGGGTGGAGACTGGGGACTCTTGGGTGGGACCTGCAGTCGGGCGGAATCCGGAGCGCAGGTCGCCCCCTTGGAGTCTGGGAAACTGGATTGCGGAAGCAAAGCTGGGCCCTGGGGGGCACCTGCGCTCCTGTGCGCGCGGCACTTGGTAGCTCCGGGTGGTGGCAAGCCGGGTGAAGTGGGAGCGCGAGGGCGAGGGGAAGTCGAGGCTCAGGTGCATCAGAAAGGCTCCCTTAGGTCCGCGTGAGCTCTAGCTATCCTGGAGGGGGATAGTGATCGGGAAACCCTGCACCGCACATTTCCCAGTCACCGGTGGCTGCGCTCCGAGCCCCCGCCAACCCCAGGGCGGATACCCCCGCGATCCCCAGTGCTATTGAGCAGCGGGCGGCGACCAGCACCGCGTGGCTGTCGCGCTTCGCGCCCGGCCAAAAGGTAAAACGCCGCCGGGCTTGCCCACAGCCTAGCAGAGGCGGCGCGGCCCCGAAGCGCCTTCGGTTCTAAGGATCCTCACTTCTGGGAAAGGACAGGGAACTGTCAATCAACGAGGGAGGGAGCGCACCGGCGCCGGGTGATGTCAGCGGATCAGCTGCTCCATAACAAAGAGGGGGTATCACAGGAGAAAGTTGCAGCGGCGGCTGCACCCCGGAGCCTCGGGGACCGGGGACGAAGGGAGGAGGGACGGCGGCTGCGGCAGCCGCGGCAGGCCGGGGAATTGAAAGGACTGTAGGGGGAGGCAGCGCGAGCCGCCCCGACTGCTCCTCCTCTTCCTCCCCCTCCTCCTCCTCCAAACTCGCAGGGCTTAGCCCCAGCGCTCGCTCAGCCGCCGCGAGCACCCGGAGGCACGGGAACCGGCCGCACGGCCCGGTGCTGGGCAGGGTCGCAGCCGCCATGGATAGCGACGACGAGATGGTGGAGGAAGCCGTGGAAGGTACTACCGGCATTTCTCCAGGACCTGGGGGGTTGGGGGAAGCGCCTGGGGCCGCGAGCGCCAAAAGAGTGGCGGTCTGCGACGCGCGCCGGGCCGGGCCGGGCCGCTGGTCACCACGGTCCCCAAGCGGGTGGCCGGTCGCTCGGCTCGGGCGGGGGCTGCACTGCCACCGCCACGCCGCCGGGAGCGCGCGGGGCGCGGCGGGGCACAGGCGGAGAATGGGGCCCCGCGGGGTCCGAGGCCCTGGGAAGGCTCGGCCCCCGCACCCTAACCGGCTACAGCAGCATCCTCCCTGGGAGTTGCGAAGCTGCCCCAGCTCCTCGGCCTCGGTCCTTGAGGGGGATGGAGGAGGGGAGGGCGCCGGAGGGCAGTCCCTTGAGGCCGGCGATCTCCGAGGAGCAGCCGCGTTTCAGCCACCTCGACTTCCCCTCTCCGACCGCCTGCCCTTTCCTGGCTAAGTCGCTGCGTCCCGCGGCCACCAGGGCCGTGTCTAGGTGGGTCTCCCATCGCAACGTACCCGGCTGCACACCAGGCACATGGCAGCCCCGGCCGCTCCTCCGAAAAAAAAAAAAAGATGAAATCATCGCTAGGTAGTGCATACTACCGCTCCCCACCGGGCTCGAACGCTCGGCGTCCCGGAGGCGGCCAGCCCGGGTCTGCGCTGCCCCCGGGCGAACTCATAGCCACCCGATCCCTCCCCCTCCCTGATTCCGAGCAGGGTGCGGGCGCTCAAGCCGGGAACCAAATTGCTGGGTGACACTTAACTTTCTGAATTCCGAGCTGTTGGTTGCGGGTGATATCACCGCCTGGGTGTCAGGTTTCTCCGCCCCTTCTCCAGCACCCCTCCCCCGACTTTTGTCGCCACAATGTTTTGCTGAGTTTCTCCGCCTCTTTTTTTAGCCCCCAACTTCTAAAAGACGCGGTGGGGACGTTATACAACCTCGTTGTTTGTGTCGTGAGAGGTTATGATTTTGTAACAATGAACACTGTAAAACACTCTTTAGCGTATTTATTATTTATTTCATCCTATCCCAGATAATGTGCCCGTGATGTTTTGCAAGATTGAGCGGTGTTGTTCGGGGATTTGTTAAACGGAGCATCTCAGTAAATAATTTTAAAGTCGCTGGTTGGATCTGGTTTTGATCTAATTTGTATAAACAGGTTCTGACAAACGATAAAGGAAAATAAAGTGGAGGAGCTTCACAATGCATATGGATATGCATTTGTTAGTGCTACATTGGGAGAAATCCCATTTTGATGTGCTCATAAACATAACTGCTTTTACAGGCTGCTGGAGGATTAGGGTGAGATGAAGTGGAATAATTTTTTTTTAAATTCTTGGAAAGGCATCCATTCTAATTTAAGTTGTAAAACTTATTTCTTCATTTAGTTTTAAAAAACAATTTTAAAGTGCATGGTTTTCCTTGTAACTTTAAAGGAGAATAGAAATGTTATGAATTCACAAAGCTTATATTTCTCTAAGTAAACTCAAAGTTGAGATTTAGTGAGGCCCGGAGGACTCAGCCCCAGGAAGCTTTCTTTAACTTTCAACTTATTGACTACTTGTACCTTTTTGTTATGATAGAAAAAAAGTTCTTAGCAGATTGCTAGAGGAATAAAAATTCCTCCTTTTTTTTAAAATAGTATATTTTTAGGTTTTTTAAAACTTATTTATTTTTATTTCATGTGCAATGGTGTTTTGCCTGTGTGTATGTCTGTGTGAGGATGTTGGATCCCCTGGAACTGGAGTTACAGGAAGTTGTAAGCTGCCATGTGGGTGCTGGGAATTGAACTCGGGTCCTCTGGGAGAGCAATCAGTGCTCTTAACCACTGAGCCATCTCTCCAGGCCCTCCTCCTTCTTTTTATTATTTTTGTTGTTGTTTTATTTTTTTTTTTACTTAAAAAACAAAAAACAAAAAAAACCCAAACCATTCATCACAGATAGTGCCCCAAACTAAGGCACTTTCCTGTGTTGCCGATTAGAAAATGTGCCCTGATACTTATGATCCTAGCACTGGCATGTAAACAAAACAAAAACCTGGCCTGGCAGCACACATCCTTGCATGTGGAGGTGGAGGCAGGAGGCAACAGGTCAGGAGTTCAAGGTCATCCTCAGCTGCATAGCAAATTTAAAGCCAGCCTGAGCTACATGAGACCCTGTCTCAAAATAATAGTTTTAAAAGTATGTTTCCGTGTTGATTGTGAGCTATTCCGGTGGATTCAAATTTCTTTACATAAACAGGGAGGCTTGTTGGATAGGCTGAGCAGACAGGAGTTCATTTGAGCAAGAAAGGCATCATTAATAATTATGCTGCCACAGCAGGCTCGAACCCTGGCATGTCTTGGGCAGCCACTCAATTTTACCTAAAAGTAAAGAAGTAGAGTAATGCCGGGCGTTGGTGGCGCACGCCTTTAATCCCAGCACTCGGGAGGCAGAGCCAGGCGGATCTCTGTGAGTTCGAGGCCAGCCA